AAGGAAAAAAGGAAAACATTCAAAAATATACTTTAGTTGTTTTTATTTAAATTCAATGTTTTCTTGAAAATGAAAAAAAAAAGAAAAAAAAAGAAGAAATATGTAGGAAAAATTGAAAAATGGCCACTTTGGTGTTTTTGGTTGTTTAGTTTTTTTAAAATTGTTTTCATTATTATTATCGTTATTATTATTAGTATTACCTGTTTTTTTTTTGTCAATTCTGTTAATTTGTTATTACTATTATTTATTTTTATCAATATTGTTTTAATCAAAAAAAACAAACAAAAAAAACAAAAAAAAAGGATGAAGCAAACCCGCGACAGCAAGCTGCGGAAACGCAGCTTGCAAATAAGATTGCAGGAGGTCCTTGGGGGAAAAAATTGAGCTACGAATGGCCAGGTGTCTAGGACACCTGGAGGGGGGATGAATCTAGAGGAAGTAGCTAGGTTTTGGACGAAAAAAAGGAAGCCGCAAGGGAGCAAGAACGAAAAAGAAAAGGGCGAGAGAAGGAGGTAACAACGGCTGGGGTTGAGCAGTGAAGAAAAAGGTCAGCTTTGAGAGAGAAGGGGAGAGAGGCTGAGAATCTAGTTGAACGGGCAAGAAGGGAGAAAAAACGGAGAGGGAAGAAAGAGATCAAAAAGCTTGAGAGGGGGACGGCTGGAAGTTTGAGGAAAGAAAAGGAAAACGCAGAACAGCTGCGGTTTCAGAGGAGATCGCTACTTGGGTGGCTGTGGAACTCAACCGGCCTGGTTTCGTGGCCAAGCTCCGTGAGAAGGTGAACGTCGAGGGTCTTATTGTCGACGCTGGCTGTGGTAGTGGCGCTGTTGTTGCTGTTGCTGCTTTCCTTCTACTGCTGTCGATTCCAGCACCACACTCCGCCCCAAAGCCTGCTGGCTACGGCTGAAACGTGACCTCCTGGAGTGTTACACGGTTATCCCACTCCTCTCAGGTAACCATGAATCTTTGGGCATGTTTGCAGCGAGTTTTTGTTCCTTGTTGCAATGTTGATGATATTTTTTAGCAGTAAAAGGCATGGGTATCCTGATTTTTGTTAATTTAGAAATTGGTTGCATGATTTGTGATTTGGATAATGAAGCCCATAAAGATTGCAGCAATCTTACCGAATGTGTTGTTGATTACAAGAAACTTTTTTTTTTGCTTGAACTCTCGGCTTGATGGCCATTAAAACGTTCAATGTTTTCTTGCTTGCGTTTAGACTTCCTGGAGTTGAACTTCGTGTATGAAATCTGCTGCAATAAACTTGCAAGCTCTCAGCTTGTTGCGGCAATGCACGCGGACAACTTGTGTGCGTTGGTTTTGCTAAATTTTCTGGAAGTATAAACATCAAGGTTCTATGATAAAAGTGGGAAGAAAGCCTTGTTATCTTGTTGCTTTGATTCCAGTTTTTTGGGGTGTTTGAATGAAATGAAGATTGCATTCGTTAGGAAAAGCTTACAGCAGAAATGTTTGTTGCAGAAATGTTTTGAAAGCTTGGCATGAAGTTATTCGAGTTGTTTCAGATTTGCATATACGAGTTTCATGATGCAAAGTGAAAGGATTGTGTGGTTGTTTGCTTGGATTTAATTGTGTTTGGAAGCTGATTTTGATGAAGTGCTGATTGCAGAAGCTTTGTCTAAAATAAAATTGCAGAAGCTTAAACTTTCACGTATGTTGCATGAAAAAACTTTCAAAATTGCATTCTTACCCCCCAAGTCCTCCCTTGACTCACTATGGCCCAAATAATTGAAAAAACTAATCAATTTGGTCCTTTTGATTTCGAAGCAATGCTACGAAGGCCCAATGATGTTCTAAATTCTTGCAATCGAGTCATGAAGTAGTTGTATTTTAGCCATTACTTGCCCTTTTCTTTACCTTTGGACCCTTGAAATTCCTAAAAGTGTTTGATTAAGTTCGAGTGCTTGGTTAATGTTCGCACTTTAGTCCTTGGTAGTTTTAATTTCGAAACTTCATTGCTTGCTTTGCTTCAATTAACTACTATGTCTTGTTTTCATTGCAATTAATTCATGATTTTAGTGGCTTTAGGATCATGTGAGCTGTGTACTTGCACTTTTCTTTTAGTTTTTTCTCAATTAAAGAGGTACCTTGACCTTCTTATTGTTTTGAAGCCATTTTTCTTTCATTTGGACATCATTCCAAGGGAGGTATAATTTCTTTTATCCCTTTTGTTTCTCTCCTATGTGATCCAACGTGCTAAGTGAAATTGCATGTCTACTTTGCTTTCCTAGCCTTTCCTTAATTCCTTTTACTTATGTCATTTACTTTTGTTTTCATTTAAGTTATTCTTTTAATGGGGTATGTGTACACCTCTTGGCTTGTAATAGATAGGGCTTTGGCGAGCAATTTGGTCCATTCTCCCTCTTCCCCCTTTTGTTTTAGTTAGTGAATGTAATAGGTTCATTAGCTTGGTTGCATGCCCATGTGCTACGTGTTATTTGCTTTATTAGGGCCTTGCATCTAGTCGAGCATGCTAAGTGTTACGTGCTACGTGTTTATGAATTTTGATATGCCTACTCGCTTTCCATAGCCTTGAATGAATGTGATGGATGAATGCACGTCACCACGCTAGTCCAACGCTAGTTGTGGCCCTTGTACGCCACCACACTAGTCCAACGCTAGCTGTGGTTCATTGTTCCGTTCCACTAGTCCAACGCTAGTAGGAACTCATAGAGGGCTAGTCCAACGCTAGACCCAATAGGTCCATTTCCTTTTCATTAGTGCATTATTTGCATGTTCACTACATATCATGTAATTTTCCTTAGTTTTATCATTTGGCATGTTCCTCTAAACCTTTCCCCTTCACTTTAGGTCTTGCATTTCATGCTAGTTAGGGTACATTTGCTTGAGTGTCCCCTCCGATAAGGGAAACGAGCGAGTGTGGCTACTCGATAGCCTTAGCACGCTAGTTTTGCCTTCTAATCAAAGGGAAAATCGAAGTCGAAAAAGTTAGGAGTCATTCCCATACCCGACCTGATGCATTCCTTTAGGTTTATTCATTCTCATTTTTCACTTACTTACTTTTTTTTAATTCACATTTCTTCATCACTTTTCCTTTTCTTATTGTTCATTTTGATTTCTACTTCACAAAATTGCACTTAATTACACCTATATGCACTTATCACTATATTTCATACACTTGCACACAAACACTTGGATTTTTCATACAATTTCACACGTGCACCTTTTTATACACTTGCACACTTACACTTTAGCCATCATTTGCATTAATCGACCTCTATAAGGTTTTCCTTTATTGGCCGCCACAATTCATGTGGTTGGGACCAAAAACCTTACAAGAGACATTTTAGAATTTAGGTTTGCATTTTTTCTTTCTTTTGCATTCATGTAGTGCATCCAAATGTAATAAATTCTTTGGTTAAAATAAGAAAAACTTTGATTAAATCACGCAACTAGCCTTGGCTAGGTCGAAGGGGTGCCTTGGATTTTTATCCTTGCCTTCCCCTTCGTCAAATGTGACTCCCGAACCTTTTTCGTTGGTTTACGTGGACTAGGAGTCGTTTAAAAGGGGTTTCTTCCTACTTTTTTCCTATTTTTCCTCAAAAAAACAAAAAATCTTTTTTTAGGTGACTTGGTACACCTTAACTCATTACCAAGTGGCGACTCCGTATTTTGTTTCAAAAAACCCTTTTTAAACTATAATTTTGGGTCAAATCGTCGCATTCTCAAACCCCCATTTAGACCCATTTTTCTTTTAAATCACAATTCATTTTTCAATCACAAATTGAATCAAAAAATACATTTTTTAACCATTTATTTATTTCATCAAAAAATGGGGCGCGACAAAAATAAAACTTAGGGACTAAATCAACTCTAGTAAAAATGTTTAGAGACGAAATTGGCCATTTTCCCATTATCAAAACTTGATGTACAGTTCCCTAACAAAAATGGTTGCGCAACAGGTACATGCACTATTTCTCGATATTTGGGTACCTTCAAGAAAGCTGGAAAATGGTACACAAATTCTTTGTGGTGTCTCCTGCTGCTGGATTAGTGGTTTCAGCACAAAACTTGATGACAATTTGACAGTTCCCCTTGCTTCTATTGGGTAAACTAGAGGGATTCATCAAGGGCAGCTGAGGATGTCATTGGTAGCACTTAATTAATTTTACCAAGCGCAAAATGATGTTATTGAAGGCATGTGTTAATTAGTTTAGTTAAACGTGCATTTGTAAAATTATTTGTATCAATTAATTCGATCAAACTCAATGGTTCAAAACTTCTCCAAAGGCGCATTTTTTCGGCACATCTAAATTTATCTGCATTGGATTCCGAAAGAACAGCAAGTCCTGGCTTGTTAAAGTGTTAGGATGTTGTTCGTCATAGTTTTTTTTTTAATTTTTTTAATTTTACTTTGATAGTTTCCTCTTGAGAAGTTCTGGGGCAAATTTTTAAAACAATAATTGAAAGCAAGATTTTTTTTTTCTTTTTCAATTAGCTCGATCAACATATGGAGCGATTGATTTGAATAAGGCCGGTAAATTGTTCACATAATAATCATGTAGAAAACACTACCAAATGAATGTCTACATTCATGATTTAGTTCCAACTTCCAACTGGAAAACTATACCGGGACCATGAATTAGAGAATGGAGATACATTCCATCCATTTTTTTTTTTTTTTTTGAGAATATACGCAAAGATTTTCAGCAAAGTTCATCCCATCCGTATGCTTCTTGTTAAGTTCAGGGATATAAATCTGTCTACAATGAAACCAACAAATATGTCTTTATTGCAGTACTTTATAACATTTGAGTCCCATCTTATTGAGTCGAATGACACTTAAGCCTCTTCACCGTTTTTACCAACAATTGATGATCAATATCCATGCAATTGGTAACAAGAAATGCCTAAACATCCACTAAGGCCTCCGGTAGTAAGCAATTATGGTATAACCAGTCTGGGCAAAGGTGAAGGCAAAAAGAAACATTGAACCTATTACAGATATACTTGCCCATGGATTCTTAAAGTAAGTCAAGATTGGCTCTCCAACGAACCCAAGGTCTACTGCAGTATTTGATAACCTTCTTTTCGACCATGTAAACTGAGCTATCAGGATCAATTGTGATATCTCTGGTTAGACTAAACGCAAGAGGATTTTGGATGATCCCACAAGAGCGAAGGAGACTAATGTCCTTGGAATCTCGGATAATATTGTTTATGAAAGCAAGATAGTTAGTCACTTCTCTGCCTGCGCCGACGTGTAAACGCTCGAAAGCTAATAGGTTGAGAAAGAATGTTTCAGTAATATTATCCACAACAATTACAGGAACCTTGAGGGTGGCGCAGAAAACATCTTTGTAAAATCTTATGTCCTGGAGACTTGTACTTCTGCTTCTTTGAATTTGGATTCCTGCATCGTGAAGCTCTGTTGCAGATGGAATTGTCTTCTCAAGAACCCGACTTGGCCAATTTTTTTTATGTCGAAGACTGGCATCGGAAGCTAAAAGCAAAACCCTGTGACAAATATCTAATACATGCAAGGATTTGTCTATGGATTTGTGGCGACTGTAACTGTCGAGATTGTAGAGGTGAAACAACAGCTTGCTGACGTAATCCTCTGCCTATATGCGACATGAAGATCAATTTGCTCAAAAGTTGATGCACTCAGACCTAGACTTGCATATATAGAGTATGATAATCTAACGTATTTGTTCAAATCGGTGTGTTATAAAAGTCGCAGAAACGCAGAAATGAGAAGGAAAATGATGTAAGCGTGTACTGTTTATATACCTTTATCACTAATACTTTGCAAAATTATGATAATTTGGAATAAATTAGTGCTTGCTTTAGGGTATGCATTATCCAAATTAGTAGTGTAAGGTGTGAAGTGATAATAATTGATAAATTTACGGTGTAATTTTATTCAAAATATAAGTTAAAACATCGTAAAGTGAGAACTTTCTGAATTTGTCACACAACAAACTTTCAGAAAATCAACTTCAAACCTTGACCGATCCAATCATCTATGCTGGTATAGGACCGGGTTTTGCTGAAAGAAGAGGTCATTTTGTGACAGGAACGCTAAAGGATCAACCAAATGCTCCAATGCATTTATTTGTCCCAAAATTCAAATATATTATGATTTGCATAATCAAACGCTTCATTTAGGATTACCAACCTAATGGCAGACAAGCATGGGTTCTTAGAATCATAATCATTAATTTTGCACAAATTGTTTGATATGTATTCTTCTTTTTAAAAAAAAAAAATGCACCATCAACCATTCTCAAATTTGAGCCCACCAAATACAGTTGTTCCAGATAGATGGGGCTCCATGTCAAACGTTATTCACGAGATCAATTTATTTCTCAAGACCAATAACTCTTTTTTATTTTTTTTGGGGTTCCAGAGGGACCGTGGTGCTTGATTAAGAAAATAAGAACTGCTTGGAACACAATTTGCCCACCAAAAATGGGCCTATTGATGAGGATGAAGGCCACAATGAATCTAATTGGTCTTGGTTTTATGCTGGTATAGGACCGGGTTTTGCTGTCGGGCTCTTGAGAGTTACGGGAATCCTTCTCTTCAAGAAGTCATGGCGCTATGCATACTTCAAGTTTATAGAAAGTGCATTGAAGACCACTCACTTGAGAAGGAATTCTGTTGAGTAAGTACATATAAAAGGCACCACAATTTGCGTAGCATACTATCCTTGATAATTTGCTCTTTGAAAATTTCACATTTTTGTAGACATTCCTTCATCTGACTTTTTTTTTTTTTGCTTTCCTATGTTGATTGTAGAGAACTAAATAGAACTTAACATTGATAATTTGAAAATTTATTGTAATTTGTAATGTGTTTTTTCCAAATATTTCTAAATATTTGTGGTATGCATCCCAACTTGCCCAATTCTATCCAATAAGAAAATGATAGAGCTTAATAAGTTTTTTATTTTCAAGCAAAGAATAACGTAGAAATTGAAACGTAATGTAGTAGGTGCCGGTTACCAATTAACTAACCAAGATGATTCTAACACCAAATCAATAGCTTTCGAAGGAATTTTTCCCCAATAAACTATTATTTGGTTGGAAGCCAAATATTTCCTTTCCTTGCCTTTTGATAATTTTGATCCCAAAAACTAGATAACAAAACCTTTCGCTCGTTCTACTAGCAATTGTTTCAACTCTTAAAAAAGTTTGAATTCAAATAATTCTCTTATATTATCCATATTTACATTGCAGTCTATTATGTTTCGTTGAAGTCCATATTACGACAATCTCATTGATTTTTGTTTATTTACAACCGATTATAAAGATCATTATTTTACTGTTAGCATTTGAATGGAATAAATATTCTGTGTCGAACAATTTATATTGTTTTTCTTGTTCACTGATCTAATTTTCTGTCAACGTTTTATGCTTTAGAAGAATTCTATAGTAGTTTACGCTAATAGTTGATGTAGTTATTTAATTTCTAATTGGTTTTCAATCTAGCTTTTCTCTCAAAAACTCTCACAAACTACTAATTAATGTTTTTCAGGTACTTTTGAACCATTGATTATTCTAGATGAATAGATTTTTATATTCATATAATGCTGATATATATTTTTCCTTTCCTAGATTAGTTTTCTACCTCAAAAGGATAAAGGGAATAAAAAAGGGGAAAATTTTTGAAACCTCACAAACAGTACGGTTGTTTGTGACCTTGAGTAAAGTAGCTTTGATCAAGGCTAGAGGAAAGAAGTAGACAGAACTTAAGGTCCATATCCCCCCCAGAAGCAGCTTCTATCATCGTTGATGTCCAGGAAAACCAAAGATATTAGACTGGCAACTCTGATAGATGACATCAACAATTTAAACTCTTTATTTCAAAAATGCTCATTTTGTTTAGATATAGCAAATGACAATATAAGTAAATCTTTTAGTACTTATGCAGTTGGCATTTGTGGTGATGAGGAATAGAACAATCCTCAAGGTGTCTAACACTTTTGAATAGTCTCTTGGAGCCGTTGCTCTACAAGTGTAAAGTTATGAATTATCAATACTTCGTTTCAGCAAAAAAAAAAAAGAAATGCTCAAGAACTACTTTTTGAAGTGACTTTCTCACATTTTTCTGCAAATCAATTGTACTGAATAGGTGCAAAGATCCATAGAATTTTATACAAAAGTAATGTTCTATGAAATTGATTTCACGTAACCCCTTTGACGTATAACATAATTGCAAAAGCTAGCAATAGGCATCAGAATCACACTTAGCTCTCATATTTTAATGCTTACATAAACAAACCCAAATAAGATTAGCAAAATGTTGCTTTGATTTTCCCAAAATATGCTTTTCTATCTACAAATGCAGAGATGAAAAAAAATCAACCGTCGACTTCTTCATAACTTCCCACCGTAAACAAATTACGCTGTTGTGCCATTGTAACATTGTTTGATCAAACATAGTAACTAGAGATTTTCTTACTTTGTTTTATTTTTAGTGTATTTTTTTTTTATTTTAGTGTAAGTAGAAGGTCTTGAATCCAGAATCTCTTACTTGTACTCCCTTCTCCTTATCACCCAATCCATCTGACAGGTATTGGATCTGTGCAATAATAAAATCATACTCTCAAAGATGTAAACAAGTACAATGGCAAGTAGCGTCGTCTTCATAGGGATTAGGAGAAAAATTTGTTTCTTTCCAAATGAGAATTAATCGGGGGAGTCTGGACAATTGAAAATGAAAATGAACAATCAATGCAAATTAAAAATAATTAAACTAAAACAAGTTAAACTTAATTGAAGGATAAACGAACTCTAACCAAGGAAATAACTCCAGGAGTGGTTCAAATGACTGATTATCGATACAATAATTATTTCAATTATTCGCTAATAAACATAAACGACTAACTTTTCCTTAGTGTCTCAATAGTTAAGGTATACTCGTTAACTACTTCTCTAACCAAAAACTAACTCTAGGTACGCCCATAAAATTTAATTTCTTGATTGCATTAAGAACAAAAAAAAAATCCTATTCTAATTAACAAACACACTACCAAGGTTTATTTAATTTATAACGTATGTCTCCCTAACATGATCCCAATCACATTAGTTGCCACTAATTTAAAACAATTAAACAATTACAGATTTAGCTGTCCTAATTGACAATAATTCGTTAGGTTGAGTTAAATATCAGGTGCCTTTAATATTCAAACAACTAACAATCATGAGAAATTAAATCAGAAAACATACAAATATTAACGAATAAAATAAATTGATAAAAACGATTAGATCTCACAGATGTTGATGAATCAAATCCTTTGTTATTCCTCGACTAGAAAAAGAGTATTTAGTTGCACATTATCGCGATTGAACAATACGAATTGATTGAAGTGTTTTTCATAACCATCTGATAATGTCCAAAACGTAAGAAAAAGAAAAAAGCATGAAGGCGGCTAAAGCTTTCTGCCTTTTTTCCGTGAGAGCCAATCACAAGACCTCTTGACCTTTTTTAGTGCCCCCAATTCGGTTTCTACTTGGCTAACTGAAAAATAGAATTCTAATTGAAAAAGGAAACTTCAAAAATAATCCTAATTGTTCCTAAATAAAAACATCTAAGAAAAATGGCAATTTCCTAGCCTTTGCCTAACTTCCTACGTAAGCTCCATCTTGACTTTGCAAACTTGCGCTTGATGACCAATTTCAGGAAAATTGCCCGTTTTTAGCACTTTTCGTTCCAATGCCCTATAATTAACACAAAACAAAAAATATAAGAAGAATCCGACAATTAAAACAATATTTAGCAAGAATAAAAGAGAAATTAATCATAAATTTAATATCAAATTTCAACCTATCACGATCCCTCCCCCGGTCTAGCAACTAGAGATTGTATCATTGTTTGATAAATGTAATTACTCTAAACTTATGCTACTAATTATGCATAATTTAATATCAGAGGTTTTGCAAGTATTTTCAAGAGTTTTTTGCCAAATAGTTGTAATTTGTGTTAAAAAAAATTTCTATCACTGTTTGTTATTCCAATTTTCTCCTTGCATGATGAAGTATTATATTGCCATCTCATACTCCATACCATCCATGTTGACATAACTGCTACTTCAAATTATGATCCACTACTACTATATATATCCAAGTCTACCCGCTAACTTCAATTAAAAAAATCCCAATACTCTATAATTAATTCTTTTGCTCTAACTAGTTTGTTATTTAATATCTTTTTCATTATTTACTTTTTCCTAAAATATACGCACACATAGAATGTGTGTCTCACCCAGTGATTCTAATAATTAGGGATGGCAATTTTCGACACAACCTGAAAACACGACACGAACCTAACACGAAATTAATGGGTTTGGATTGAGATTTTGGGAATTCGGGTCAGAATCGGGTTGAACCCGAAAAGAAAACAGGTCGATTTCGAGTCAACCCGTGGTGACCTGATATGATCCGATATGACCAGTTTACGAATTAAAAATAATTTAATAAACATAAAAATAATTTTATCTAACTAAACTAAGTTATTCTTTTTTTCAAAGGCATTAATTACTTAATCCTAAATAAATTTATTTAATTTGTGTGAAAATGAAATTATTATATTTGGACAAATAATATATTATATTATTTTTTACTTTTATACTGTTTTAATTTATTTTATATTTTGTTTGGGATAAAATACTTTTACGGTGTTTAATTTATTTTAGATTTGATTTGGAATTATTTATTTAAATTTTTATTACTTGATTATGTAATTAGTTTTGTGAGAAATTAATTTTATTAGAAATTACAGTGATAAATTAATAAATTAAAATTAAATTTCGGATCATTTCGAGTCGACCCGCCGACCCGTCAACCTGAAATTTTCGGGTTCGGGTCAGTATACCTGACCCGTCAATGGTTGGCGGGTCGGGTTCGGGTCAATAGATTTTCTGACGGGTTGGGTCAGACCCGACCCGCTAACCTGATTTGGACTCGAATTGCCACCCCTACTAATAATTACACGAACTAGTATGAACTAGACAAAGTTCTACTTGTGAGGCCCGTTATTGCCACTGGGCATCTAGTCCAGTGGTCATCACTCTCTTTGGTGATGCTGGAGGTCAGGGGTTTAACTCCTGCCTCCCACAAACTTGCCACCTTACGTGGCTAGTCTTCTGCCCCCACGGAATAGTTCGACCTGTCCGCTCCCCCTCCTTAGGGTATGGCGACCTTCCTGATTTATTCAGGGTTCGAGTCCCGTTGTTAATGTGCTTGGTGTGGAGTGGGGCCTCCTCTCGCGGGCCGCAGGGAATTAGTCAGGCCCCGTAAGAATTGACCCGGATACCCATGTGTCGATAAAAA